ACACCCCTCAGGCCTTGGATCCTACAGAGAGCTCAGCAATGAATGGCTGCTGATTTCCCTCAAGGTCCAGGAATCTTCTACAGGTATCACAGGATATTTTATTGCATTAATAAGTTCATTTGACTAGTACAACTCTTGCAAGGAGAAAATAAAAACCCTGCAGGATCTGTGATTCATTGGCATCATTTCTGCCAAAGAGCCTTTTAGAAAGGTTTAATTCCAGTTGCAAATGTTTGAAAGTCAATCTCTATGTAGCAGGGAAGCAATGGCATGAAAGGGACACCAGGGAATAATTAGAAGCAGAGAAACCCTGTGTTTATACATAGACAGGGTTTGTCTTATAAACGCAATTACCCACCACTCTGGGACTAAATCCCAGCTATAATCTTGTTCTGGCACCAGCTCCCAGCCCTGGCGTCCCACAAGACATTTGGGTGCCACTGGCAGATTAACTGTGGCACCAGGAGGAGGAAGCTGTGCTAAAAGCAGCCCCGTGGAACCGCACGGTCTGTCCCAGCTCCTGCAGACACCGAGCCTGGGAAAACATCCACTCCAGCAGCCTTCTGACCTAGGGATGACACCCAATCCTCACACAGAGCATTCCCCAAAATCTTTGCATAGGCCAAGACTTGGTGGCAGGGCTAAGATGCCAGGTTAAGAGTCCTGTTATTTATACCAATCTTCTCCCTGCAGCATTTTGGCACCTTAAAGAGACTTTCTCTCTCCTGCAGGGTTTTAGATCCCAAACTGCCAGCCTGAAAACATGTTTTCTGGAGCTGATGCTCACACGAGGACAACTGCAGTCCAGATCCACGTGCATCTGCCCCTCAAGGTTTAACCTTTGTGCAGCACAAAGTTATACATAGGAGCTCTAGGTTGATCCACAACTATTTACCTCCCAGTCTTTGCCACTCTCAGGCAGACAGGTACTTCCAGGTGCTGACAAAGGCAGTGGGGATGAGGGAATAAGGCACCGTGGTGATGCTGCTCCAGGTGTCGGACGAGGGGTCGTAGCAGTCCAGGGTCTTGCAGCGCTGGGCCCCGCAGTAGCCCCCCACCACGTACAGCCTGTTTCCCGAGGTGACAGCGCGGCAGCTGATGCGCTTGGCAGTGACATCCCCAAACTTGGACCACTGGTAGGTGTCACTGTGGAAGCGGTAGGCGGAGCTGGCCGAGAACTCCGTGTCCCCGCCGATGACCATGATGTGGCTGCCCACCACGGCAGCCGCCGTGTAGCGCCAGGGCTGGGGGCAGCTCGTGGGCACTGTCCAGCGGTTCTGGCAGGGGTCGAAGCACTGCACCTTGGGCAGCTTGTTCTGGTTGGCGCTGGTGCCCCCAAAAACAAACAGCTTCATCTTGGCCCCCACCACAGCAGCGTTGCTGACGCCTTCCCGGAGAGGGGCCACCAGGGACCACTTGTCCAGCTGAGGGTCATAGTGCTCCACCTGCTTGAGGGAGACGGAGGGAGAGGCTGGGAAGGCCCCGCTCATGGCTGTGTGACCCCCCACCACGTACAGGCAGTGGTCTAGCTCGGCGGAACCATGGCCAAACCGCGCCACCAGCATGGGAGCAGCTTTTGCCCACTCATCATGAAGAGTGTCGTAGACCCAGACGTCCCTGGAAGCGCCGTTCTCGGAGCCTTTGCCCCCAGTGATGTAAACCTTGCAGCCAATGGCGCAGGCACTGCACTCCTTACGGGGGCTGGGGATGTCGGCACGGGGGATGATCTCGCTGGTTTTATGGTCCAGCATGTAAATCTTGTCGCACATGAAGGTCTGGCCCCCGAGCAGCAGCAGGGCCTGGCTGACCTTGCGAGGCCGGGCGCAGCACCCCGTCACCAGCCCATCATTCTGCAGGATCTTCATCTTGCATCGCACGGCGTCAGCCACGATCTCCTCCCCCAGCTTGTGGCTGGTCACCAGCTTCTCACAGGCCACCTGTTTGCACAGGTAGGACTCAGGGAGCAGGGCCAGGCGGACAGAGCGCAGCAGTTCCGGCAGAACCTCGTGGCGCCGAGGCAGATCGTACCGGATCCAGCCCATGACAGCCTCGTAGACCAGCGTCTCATCCTCCACTTCCAGCTCCTCACTCTCCACCAGCTCCAGCAGCTTGTCCTTGGGCAGCCTCAGGAAATCCTCGGTCTTGCAGAGTGAGGTGAAGTTGGCCAGCGCCATCCTCCAGGACAGCTCCAGCAGCCGCTCGCAGCAGTGGGCGTCAGACAGCAGCAGCATGTTCAGGCAGTTCCCAGGGTAGAGGTTCTTCTCCAGGAAGTCGGCCGAGGCATCCCGAATATCCTGGAACTGCAGCATGTCCCCAGCCTCCAGCAGGGACTCGGCGTTCTCCTCGTTGATCAGTACCCGGGCTGAGTAGGCATAGTCCAGCAGCAGCTCCAGCACCTCGGGGTGCAGGGAGTCGTGAAAGTTCACCTCGGCATCTCTGCTCTCCTTGAGGCCCCCGCTGAACATGGCGTTGAAGTAGCGGCTGCAGGCAGCAAGGACGGCACGGTGGCAGGGAAAGCTGCGGTTCCCCGCCCGCAGCACCACGTCGGTGAAGAGGTTCTGCTGGCGGAGCAGGTTGAGCTGGGTGAGGAGGCTGTCGGCGTGGCCCGGTTTGTGGAAGAGGTGGATGTTCATGGAGCCGGAGCTCGAGCGGGATTTCCGGTTCTCGTGGCTGCTAACGGACATAGTGCTGAGACCGCTCTGCAAAGGGAAAAGCGGCGAGTCAGCACGGGGCGCCCGGCACTGGCGGGGGAGCAGCGCCCGAGAGGAGCCGGCGGCGGGAGTGCGGTACCGCCCGGAACGGGGAGCTCGGAGGGACCTTCCCGCAGCTGCGGGTCTCGCCCAGCGCTAACCGAAACGGGGCACCGGACGCTCCCGGACCAAACGCCAGGGCAGCTCAGGGCTCCGCCGAGCCCCGCGTAGTACGGGGAGAGAGGGCGATGTGCGCTCCCGGGGCTGCCGCGCCCAGCCCGCCCCGCGGGCCCGCCCCGGCTCCGCACCTGGCTCAGAGGTCCCGCACCAGGCCCCGTGGTCCCGCACCCGCGGTTCCGCACCTCGTTCAGAGGTCCCGCACCCGGCTCTGAGGTCCCGCACCTCGCTCAGAGGTCCCTCGCTCTGCTCAGAGGTCCCGGTCCCGGCCCCCCTCCCCGCCCGTTCTGCCGCCGCCGCGTGGCCGCCCCGTGCCGGCCCCGCCCCCGCCCGCGCAGCAGCCAATCAGCGTCCGCGGCGCCCTGCGCTCGCTCCTGGTGAATGGAAGGCGGAACCGGGAGTGCGCATGCGCAGCCCGTTAGCCCGCCCATTGATGCCCCCACATTGATTACTCCCCATTCATCCCCCGCACTTGTCCGTGTCCCCCCATTGACCACTCCCATTCACCCCCCGCACGTGTCCGTGTCCCCCCGCTCCAAGCATCGCCCCCCGAGCCCCAGCACCGCAGCGCGGCTGAGGCAGCGGCCGAGGACTCGGGCCGCCGGATCTGAGGCTCCTGAACCCGGCGGAGCTGTGCGGACGGAGCCACCCCACCATTAAGGGCCATAAAGTGGGCAGCCGGGCTGGGATCAGCAGCGCGCGCCCGCGGCCTTTGGATCCCGCCCTGCTGACAAAGGCAGGTTGCGGCCAGACAAACCAGCCCTGCTCAGCAAGTTTTCCTGCACGGAGCCCACCTTTGAAATTTGGAGCTTGAAAACATCCAGCGGTTGCTCCTGCACAGAAGGTGCTGCTCATCTTTACCTCCCCCGGGGCAGCCCATCACCTGCACCACCATCACCTTTCCTTGCCAAGGAAGGGTACTGTCACCCTCTCTCAGGAGCAGGAGCCGAGTTGGGCTGATGGCCGCAGCAGAAAAGAGAAAAAAAAAACCAAAACAAAAAAGCAAGTTCTGGGAAAATCAAGTCTGCCCACACAAGGTCTTGTGCTAAAAATGAGCAAGTGCTGCTCTGGGCAGGTAGCAGCAGCCGCCACAGGTGCTTAATCAGGGATCAAAGCCACCCCAAGGAAAAAATACAAATTCCAGAAATTCTGAATCACCCAATATTGCTTTATCTCTGCATGTTTCAGCTCCACCAGCTGTAACTTAAAATCATTTCATGAGGAATTGGATGAAGCAAATGCACTTAGAGCAGTTTACAGTGCCTTTTCTGTATGTTAAAATTAAAGCAAGGTTTAGAGCTTTAAAAATTTGGCATCAGAGGTTAGGTGGGGGTTTTAGGGTCTTTTTACTGAAGAGTTAGAGCTACACCACATCCTGTGCTGAGCAGGAGAGCAAGTCCTGAAGGAATGATTTAATAGGGTTAAGAATACAAAAATAATCTGATTTATTATTAAAATTAAACTGCAACAGGAGTCACCACGGTGGGTGAGAGGACCAGGCAAGAGCCACAGCTGTCCCTAAGCTGAAGGATCTGCTTCCTCTCCCTGTTCAGGCACAGGACTCAGAAAAGTAGAGAAAAAAACCAAGAGTCTCCTCCAGGTAAGCTCTGCCTACGCTCAGAATTGTACCAAAACCTGTAAATCTGGCACCAAATTCCCAGCACAGCCAGGAAAGGCATTCTCAGGGACACTCTGCAGGGTGAAGGTCCAGGTAAACAGCAAGGACAAGGCAAAGGACAAAGAGCATCCAGACCTCCTCTGCTCTTTGAACACAGGCAGGACACAGCTCCCCCTGTCCATGCCAAAAGCAACAACAAAAACAAGGTGGAAGCCCCTGGAATGGTGCAGGGACACCACAGAACCGTTTTCAAAGGGTGCATTTCCATGGCAGCCAGTCAGGGGCTCAGATTTATTTCAGTGGGAGGAAGGCTGTTAACACATGGGGAGCTGCAGGTCACAGAGCACTCATGTTTTCTGACCCCTGGGAACTGCCTGGAGCTTTCCAGAACTATCTAAAGAACTTTTCCCTGCTCTCAGAGGGAACGATCACTCAAGGCCACCTTTGATTCGTGTCGTTTATTATTGGCAACGCCCAGAACTGTAACTGCAAAGCCCATCTCGGCATCCGTTTGATTGCTCCTTTGAAAGGTGATTCATAAATTTCCTGCCTTTTTTTTTTAAAAAAGAAAACAACAAAAAAAAGACCGTTAGCATCTGCCGGAGCCTGGTGGAAGAGCTCCACCCGGTGGCATTCCACGAAGGCACAGCTAGAGCCTCAGAGCTCCTGGAAGTCTCAACTTCCTCAGTTTTTCCTTGAATGAGCAAGGCAGACTAGAAGGAAGCTTCGCTCTGCTTCCAGATGCTATTTCCTTCCCCTCTTGCCTCTGTCACAAACAAAACTTTTCACTTTTCACTCCTCTTTTTGCTCTGGGCTCAAACCCCAAAATATCTGAAACTCCCAGGATATGGATTGTGCCCCTGTCCTGGAGGATGAACTTGCAGGATTTGTCCCTTAGGAGTTTTGTGTGACAGAACCACGACAGTTTTTCCACCTAACACCGACTTTGTGCTCTTTTCTTCCAGAAAACACTGGAAGGTTGCATTTATCTTTTGGGACAGAGGAAGGAAGGATGGAAGGCACTTTTCCCCCCTTCAATTTTACCAACCGCAGATTGATTTTCAGAGGATTCACCTGAAAGATTTCTCTGATGGAGAGAGACAAAAATTATCAACTGCAAACAATCCTCTCTGCAACAGACACCTTGATTCCAGTCCCAATTACAATCCACACAAAGGATGTATGGGATTACAATCAGCAACACACAGGAAAGTTAAAATACACCCTGCCTCACTAAAGGCACTTTTACCACGTGGGAATTTGGCTCCTGAAGCTCAATTATTTAAACAGCTTCAGAATTTCCTCCTCTGGATGCCTGGTAGATTCCAATCAGGGAGGAGATGGTCCCCAGGAGCCCTACTAACCACGGGGGGAACCTTCCAGCCCAGAGGAATCCTGGAGGCAGCCAATGGATGGCATTGGAAAGATCTGCTGCGTCCATGAGGATGCTCAGAACCTCTGCCTTCACCTGGGCTCTCAACTTCTGGCTCTGAGGTGAGGATGTGCTGCTGGAAGCAAAGGGAATATCAGTGATAGTCCAGAATATCCTAATAACTGTGATGGATACAAATGAGAACTGGTGTATGGGGTTAAATTATAATGAAAACTGGTTAAAAGGGTGCTAAAGAGACCTGGAGAGAGACTTTGGACAAGGGCCTGGAGGGACAGGACAAGGGAGAATGGCTTCCCACTTCCAGAGGGCAGGGTTAGATGGGATATTGGGAAGAAATTCTTCCCTGTGAGGGTGGGGAGGCCCTGGCACAGGTTGCCCAGAGAAGCTGTGGCTGCCCCATCCCTGGCATTGTCCAAGGCCAGGTTGGACAGGGCTTGGAGCAACCTGAGCTTGTGGAAGGCGTCCCTGCCCATGGCAGGGGATGGAACTGGATGGGCTTTAAGGTCCTTCCCAACCTCCCAATCCCATTCTGGGATTCCATGATCAGCTGTACAGCCAAGGAAGGAAATCATACCACTTGTGCTGCCTCAGTTTTCTTCTCAACTGGCACAAGACCTTCAGGGACCTGAAAACAGCAGAGTTATTTCTCCTATAGCACCAAACAGGAGGGTTTTTTTCTCTTCCATGAGCAAGAGCACCTCCAGTAGCCAGAGGGCCCTTTGTTTTATCCCGATGGATCACCACCGGGCCTTACCGCAGGATTCCCAAGAGCAGGGCAGAGCCCCACAGCGCCGTGCTCAGGGTCCACCACCTCTGGGAAGCGGCACGGACAATTCCGACATCAGCCGCCCAGGCCAGGTGCTCACAGGGGTAGTAGAGCTGGTTGGCCACGTTGCAGAGCACGCTGAGCCCCCGCACCAGCACATCCTCATCCTGCGGGAGGGGGGAAAAGGGGACAGGCCAGAACACGCACAGGGTGGCCAGGGGGGCTGTGGGGGACCCCCCTCCCCGCTCTCACCTCAGGGCCCAGCCCGTAGCCGCAGCTGTGCTGGAGCATGGCCAGGTCGTCGAAGAGGCGCAGGACGGTGCGGCAGGAGCTGAGCTGGGCAGAGGCAGCCAGGAGCCCCCCTGGCAGCCCCCCGGGCCCGGGCAGGGCTCCTCCCACCAGCTGGAGGCTGTAGGACAGGGCACGGACCTGTGGGGCACGGCCCGGTCAGCGGTGGGACTGGGGGGTGTGGGGTCCAGAGAAGCTGATGCTGGAACCAGGACTTCTGTTTTCTCTCTTTAATTCTACCTTTTCCTCTCTTTTATCCTTTCTTTAATTCTCTCCTTTTCTCTCTTTTCTCCTCTAAGTTTCTCATTTTCTCTATTTATCTTTCTTTTTCTCTCTCTTTCTTCCTTTAATTCTCTTTCCTCTCTCTTTCTTTAATTTTGTTTCTCTTTTCTCCTCTCCTTAATTCTTTTTCTCTCTCTTCTCCTCTTTAATTCTCTCTCTCTTTTCTCTTTAATTCTCTCTTTTTCTCTTCTTTTCTTTTTAAATTCTCTCTTTTCTCCTTTCTTTAATTCTCTCCTTTTGAAGTTTCTTTTCTCTTTTCCTCTTTCTCTTCCTTTCTCCCTCTCTTTCCTTAATTCCCCTCTCCCTCCTGAATTCCTCCCGTCCCTTTCCCTCCACCTCTTTCCCCAAACCCCCTCACCCTGGGCTCAGGCACCAATACACCAATTCTCACGCCAAGTAACCTCTCTGACTGTTTGCGGACCCTCCGGATTTTTATCATTCCTTTCCACCATCGAGCCTTTAAATGCACTTTAAGTGCTTCTCTTTCCCTAAAGGGCGGGTCACCGCAGGGTCGGGCCCGTCAGTCCCAGCCTGGTCCCGGCGGGTCAGACCCCCCATCCGTCGCTCCCGGCGGGTCAGACCCCCCCATCCCTCACTCACGGCCCGGTCCCGGTGGGTCAGACCCCCCCATCCCTCACTCACGGCCCGGTCCCGTCCCCGGTGCGTTTCCAGCGCGGCCTCCAGGCCGCGGAGCGCAGCCGCCGCCATGGCAACGCTTCCGGGTTAGACGTCACGGGCGCGCCCGGGCACGTCGGGAAGGAGGCGGTGCAGCCGTCGCCATGGCAACGCGGCCCAGCCCAGCCCGGCCCGGCCCGGCCTCGTCTGCCCGAGTCCCCCTCCCCACCAGGGCCTCCCTCCTCAGGGCCTCCCCCCTTTCACAGCGTCTCCTTCCCCAGTCTGGTCCGCGAACCCCTCGTCAGCCCTTTGCTGACCCCCAGTTCCCTTGTTCTGTGGTGTTCCAGGTTGCCCAAGTAGTGTGTGGAGTCTCCCTTACTCGAGATGTTCCAGAACCCCCTGGACACATCCAGTGCTCTGGAATGGCCCTGCCTGAGCAGGGAGGTGGGACTAGGTAAAGCACTGTGGTCCCTTCCATTCTGTGATTCTGTCGTTTCCTTAGAGCAGTATTTAGGTATTTCAGTAACTCACAAGACACACTAAAGAGAACATCACTGGTACCCATACACTTCTCCGCGGACTCACAGCACTCGCTGCCTCTGTGTGTCTGGATCTAAGAATCGCATAGAGCATTTTTAGGAATAACCCCTTTCCTCCCCCTGCCTGGCTGTTTGGCAGGGTACGTTCTCACTGTTAAAGGGATGGACAGTCTTGTTCCCACACTCCTCGCTGAGCACAGGCTGAGGGTGGATGGACTCCACCTGCAAAGCCAAGAGAACAGGTAACATGATTTTAGGGAGGGCCAGGACACAGTTAAAGGGCAGTGTGTTCCCATGTGGAATTCTGTCCTGAAAGGCGTGGGATCTGTGCAAGTGAAAACTAAGAAGGTGGAAAAACAGAGGGGAAATAAAGTGATTATGCTTTAAGTGGCTGTTCTGTAGCTTTGTTGGCTCCCTCCAGCTTGTCCTGTGTTAAATTTAGGGAGACCAGAAGCAGAAACAGTGCCCTGGATGAGAGGACACACTGGTATCAGCAGGAGAACCTGATCCCAGGAACTGCCCTTTCTGATGAGCAATGTAATTTATCAAACAAAGCTCATATTTGATATCTTGTAGGGTTTATGACAAGGAATGTGCTGCCTCCCAGATCCACCACATGAACAGCTTTAGGAAGGGAATGGCTACACTAGATTATCCACCTCAAAATCAAGAGTTCTTCCCACTGCACAGTTAGGAAGGGTAAGGCTGTGACACAGAGGCCACAGGTACAGACTGGCACTTCCACCCCCATAAATGACATCTCAACAGCCACTTCTTTGCAGCAACACTTGGCATGTTCAGGTGATGTGAGTGATTTCTGGGACACGAACCAGTGGCTTGATCTTTTGCCTTGCCATGTTTGTTTTTAGAAGTTGGTTTGTGTTTATTTTTGGGAGGAAGGAGAGGATTTTGATCAAAAGCTCCACTTATGCAACCTCAGGAAGGGATGTGGTTAGAGATGGCCATGGAAGGCATTAAGAGAATCCTCCTCTGACCTTGCCTCCTATTTCTCATGGCCAGCAAGAGAGAGGCCCCTTCATGCCATGGATCTTTAAAGCCATTTGATTTACAAAATGTGGAACAGATCACAGGTGAATTGATCTTTTCCTTGACCCCAGACTTCTGGAGCAGCTCCATAACTGCCATATGGAGTGATATTCCCGTAACTGCCATGTGAGTTTCTTCATTTGCCTCCTCACCCTGGGAGTTGTTTTGTGTCTGGGTGAAGGTTTTGAGCAAACTGCTGACGGCAGAGCTGGCCTTTTCCTCTCCTCACACGTGGATCTGTGCCTGCAAAGCTTCTCTGGTACTGCCTCCCTTTTTTACTGCCTTGAATTTAATTTTTATTTCAATTCCATCTGTCAGCAGATGAAAGTTCTGTCACAACCATGCAAGCCATGCTGGTCCCACACAGGCAGCAGAAACAGCGACTCCCCAGCGGGTCCAGCCTTAATAGGCTTGGATTAACCATGGGGTGGCTTGGAGAAGTGGGTTTATACCCAGCAAAGCTGCAGCCTCCCCTTGACATCATCAGTTTGGGGATGGGACAGTGTGCAGCAAATCCTGTCTGCTCCAGCCTCGGGTGAATGTTCTGTGGAGGCAGAGTTGTAGATAAGGAATATCTTGAAAGGAGAGGAAGGACAGGCAACCAAATCCTTAAGCCAAGGAATGTTGGAGGGAAGTAGGTGATTCTGGTCTCCCACAGAGGGTCAGAGGAGGAAAATTGGCCTGCCTGGAGGTGTCCGCCCATGGCAAACATCTCTGCACCACTGAGCATCTGCCAGAGACAGAGGGTGTTGCAGCTGCCCAGGTGAGGTGCACCTGGGTATGTAGCACCACCAGGCTCAGATATTGGGGCTGCCAGGTTCTGTGGGGCCACCTGCCCCTTTCTCAGCCCCATCCCAATGTGCTGAGAGATGTTTTCTCTTCTCAGATGAAAAGTTCCCATGTGGGGCTGCCCAGGACGGCACAGGACATCTGCAGGACTGAGCAGAGGGGTGACGACACCCAAGTCTAGAGGCCCAGCTGAAATCCAAAAGGCAGACTCCCAAGTGAGCTGTGTGTCCCCACGGTGACCCTGGAAAGGCCCTGTCCCCAGGGGAAGGTGACATTCTCCCTCCTCCATCAACCAGGCCCTGTGAGCTGCCCACACGGCGTGGGATCTCCAAGCTTCCTTGTGCTCTGCTCTTGCCCCCCTCTGTGTGTTGTCACAGGGAACATCTATTTCTCAGATTGAATGAGGACACAAGGAGGTGTTGTGACAGCAAGAATAAACACTGGGAGATTAGCCCAAAGCCGCGGGTGACACCCCTCTGGATTGCAGGACCCAGTGGGTGACACATCCCTCTGGATTGCAGGAGACCTCTGGGCAGGCACAGGGGCAGGAGGAAGCAGGTGGGCTGGGGGAAGCACAGAGGAAGGGCAAGAGACCAGAAACAGAGTGAGAAGCACTGTCAGGGCTGTGTGGGGCTGGAATCTGTATAGATTTTGGTGTCAAGGCCTGGAACCAAAGGTCAGTGGACAGTAGGGCAGCTGGGCAACTCTGCTCAGCTTGTGATGAGTGTGGGCTGTTTTCCTAGAGGTGAGCTGGGTGTTTTTGTTGAGTTGGTCACTCACGTGGGTTTCCCGACTGCTGAGCTTGCACTAACTCTGCTTGGGGTCTAGGTGTGTTCCAGAGGGGTCAGTGGGGGCTGGTCAGCCCTTGGGGGGGCTGAGTGAGCAGGGCCAGCTGCTGCTTTGGCACTTCACAAGCTCTTCTCAGATGGGTTTGATTCCCCGTGAGCCAGCCCTGAAGCCTTTGGGCTTCGTTCCCAGCTGCTGCAGTCTGTGTGTGAGCAGTGCCCTTGTGCTTTCCTCTGGGCATTTGACTCTTTGTCTCTCAGGAACGGGACAGTCTTTGCTCCACTGTGCTTTCCTCTGGGGATCTGACTCCTCGGGAATGGGGGAATGGAATCTTTGCTCCACATGTACTTCAAAGAAGCCACGCATTCACATCTTGCAAATGCATACAGGCACCTCTCCTCAGTCCCTGTAAACACCTGTATTCAAACACCTCAGGTGCACCATTTGGTGGAGTAACAGGAACTTGCATCTGCTACAGCTCTGCCCCATTACTTTGATGTGACTCTGAGGTGCCATTGCCACCTGTGCTGCTGCAGGAACAGCCACAGTTCCCTGGGGATAAATGCTGGAATCACCCCTTGGTGGCACCAGCTGGGAGAGCTGTTGCTGGAACTAACTGTGGTTATTCACTTTTTCATGTGGATTTTGATCCAACTTCAGACATGGAAAGTAAAACTGGTTTTTTGGGGTGAGGGTCTTTGCTTTCTAAACTCTTCTCCCACCATTTCCAGCAGTGCCTTGGGAAGGCCAAACAGGCTTTCTCTGATTGCCCACCCGTATGAAATCTCCCAGGAGGGCTGGTGGTGTGTGACACCCCTCCCTGCCGCCGACGGAGCCACTGGCACGTCCCGGTGTCACGTCGGCAGCGCCTGTGACTCAGAGATAAGGCTGAAGTCACGTTATTCATCGATCCCTTTAAAAACACGTCCCTCAGCCCCGTGGCCCCGGCACCAGCCCCACGCACATGAGGTCAACCCTAAAACATCGTTGCAAAACAGGGGCTCAGTCGAACCCCCCGGGAAGGCCTGCAGGGTGGGGCCACTTAGGATAAATCAGGGGATTTTGATGTAGCCCTTTGCTCGTCCTCCTTTCCCTGGAAGGCTCCAGCCTCCCAGAGCTGCCAGGAGAGTGGGGCCCGCAGCGATGCAGCTCCCAGGGTGCGTGCAGAGCTTGGTGGTGAAGCTGGAGGACGGCCCAGCCCATGGGAGCAGGGAGCTGCTGCACGGGCGGGTGCAGCTGGAGCTGCGGGGAGCGCTGCGGGTGCAAGCGCTGGAGGTGAGCGCCCACGGCGGTGCCACCGTGCACTGGCTTGAGAGCTGCAGCATCGGGCTCAACGTTGTCTACAGGGACTACTCAGCCTACCAGACCTTCCTGAGCCGCCACTGCCAGCTCATCCCTGGTAAGGTTGGGGCACGGGGTGGGGCTCTGCACCAGGGAGAGCATGTTGGGACCCCCTTGGTGCTGCGATGTCCGCTCTGGGTGAGCCGCTTCCCCGATGGGTGTTGCCAGACCACACAGCATTGTTTGTGCCTCTTGGACACCCGTCTTTGCACCTTGGCCGAGAGTTTCCCTGCTGCTGGTTTCTAGGAGGCTGCTGGTATAAACTCAGCTCGAAGGATTTGTGGCTTTTGCTCTGTTTGCACAGGGAAGTGCAAACACAAGGGTCTGTTCACAAGTGTGGAAAGAGCACTTAGTAGCTCAGTTGGTGTTTGTTTTCGCTTCCCCTGTGCTGGGACTGAGTGCCCAGATGGCACATTGCTTGGATCAACTGCAGGAGGACAAGCCACTTGAATTCTTTGTGTGGTTGGGATGAAATGATCCAGAGCCAAGGGATATGGGACATCTCAGCTGTCTATCCGCTCATTAACTCTGGCTTTTCTTAGGAACATGCATGCCTTTTATCCTTCCCTCCAATGACATGCCTTCTGATGGCCTTGTTGTTGCCTGTGACCCAGTTGCCTGGCCCTGGCTATAGGACTTATGCTGAGGGCATTTAATTGTATCAGTGGTCAAATGCAACCCAGAGAGTGGTGCCAGGCCCAATCTGGCAAATACAGAAGTTGCAGGAATAAACTGGAGGGATGGAAAGAAGATGTGAGCTGCCTTCCTGGAGATGATCTTGTCTCTGGACTGCACTGGGGGGTCATATGCTTTATGTCTGAGTGACTGTGCCCTGCCATCTGCTCCAAACACCTGCATTGCTCTGGAGTTTGTGTCTTTTGGCAGCAGCTTTTCTGTGCTCTGACTAAGGATGGCCCTTGGCAGCTGCAACTCTGCAAAGGATCCTGATTACAGTTAAGGCCCTGGGAGAAGCCCTTGCCCTGGGCTCCAACAGCGAAGGCCCTGAGTACTTGGCCGTGCAGTGCTTGGTCAGTGTCCCCTTAGCTGTGAGCTGGCAGAGTGAGTTTTATTCCCCATTAGCAGTGAATGCCTGTAGGGAAGTCACAAGCTGTTGTGAGCATATTTGGACTCTGCTGCTGGGATTGTGTATGATAGGAGCCCCTGGAGCCCTCTGGAGAAGGGCACTGGCCAAGGGCTGCAGGAATTGCTGGAGTTGCTCTGCCTTGCCAGCACCCTGAACGCCCACCCGTATCTCAGAGCTGACGGTTCCTGGCCTTCACCTATTGCCCAGGGAGTGTTGAGCTGGGCTACCTGGGGGCAAAGAGCCCCACCAGGATTTGGGGGATGGGATTTTATTGTCTCTGTCCATACACAGATTCCTTTTGTGCTTTGTGAGAGGGACAAGGGCATGTGATCACTGGAGCAATTTTAAGGGAGCAAAGGCTATAGGCTGCAGAGAAGGGCTGTCCTGCGGCCAAAACTGCTTCCTTCAGATTCTGCTGGGTCCTGCTCTGTCCCCAACAGCAGTGTGACGGCCTTCCTGGTGTCAGCTGGCGAGAAACATGTCATCATCCGACAGTCCCTGTGACTGCTCCCTTCTTGGTGCTTCTGGATGAGATGAGATCAACTGTGTCTGAGTGGTGGTTAAAAAATGCAGGTTTTGTCATGGTAACAAGGCACTGCAGAGGAGGGAAGCCAGGCACAGATAAGAGCCCTCCCTCCTGCTCTCCCCTCAGCTGAGTTTATCTGCAGTTTCCTGGCAGGGTGGTGAGCACTGGCACCGGGGTGCTGTGCTGAGAGACAAGAAAAAGGGTGCAAGGAGGATGTACAGGCAGGGCCTTTAAATGTGTATTGTGTAATCATCTGAGATAGGGAGCAGGAAGGGAGGAAAACACAGGGGTTAATGGGTGAAGGAAGCGCAAGGATGTGAAGGCACCCAAGGAAACATAAATGATTGGTGTGCAGTGATCTTTCTTGTCCAAGGATCCCACAGCACTTCCCAAAGGTATAGTGCCTGCCCTGGAGAGGGGCAAACACCCAGAAGATATGGAGACATCTAGGAGAGTTATGGCATCAGGGCTCTTGTTGCACTGCGGGGTGGCCCTCGATCAGCACCTTAATCCTCATCCATATGCAACACCCCTATATCTGGCAGGGACAGAGTGTATTCCTCAAGCTAGGAGTGTGAGCTTGTGCAAGGCTCTCTGTTGTCCCATCTCATCCCCATATTGGGTCAGGGTAGAGCTGCTGACTTGCCTGTTTACCTCCTGCGTTCCCTTCTCTCTGGTTTTCAGGGCCCCTCATGTGGCTCTGGTGTCAGTGGGGAAAAGCCACCAGGTCCCAGCAGTGGGTCTGGGAATGAGAAGCCCCCTCTGAGCCGGGCAGGGTGTCAGCTCCTGCTCGGACCAGCTGCAGCCTGTCCAGACTCTAGATGGGGCTGAAGAGCTGGAGATCATCCCTGTACCCAGCCAGACCTGGGTTTTCCTTGGGTTTGGGCACCCAGGAGCGTTCGCGGTCCCACAGCCCCTGCACCTGGACATGCCAGGAGAGAGGAGAGACCCTCTCCTGGCGCGGGGGTCCCAGAGAGGTCAGAGAGGGGCCGGCCATCCCACGTGGAGGCAGCGAGGGGCAGCCTGGGCATCGCATGCGACTGACATGGGAGGGAGGTTTGCAGGGATTCACATCCCGTGGGCGAGGCTGAGTCACGGGCCGAGGGGTGTGTGCCAGCAGGCGAGAGGGGGAGGAGGATGCCAAGGAAGGAAAGGGGCCCGGCAAGGCTCCAGTCCCTCTCAAGAGCACCCCCCCACCCCCCCAATGGCATCACAGGGACACCAGGCTCCTTCCCAGAGCCAGTGACACCAAGTGTCACCGGTTAACTCATGTTGCAACATGCCTTCCTTCCTCCTTTCTCTCCTCTTTTCCCTCCTCCTTTCCCTCGCCCTTTATGGAGTTTGCTATGATTCATGTTTGTTTGTGGCAGCAAATGGTCGTGCACATAAAACAAACCATGGTCCCCTTCCCCTGGGGAGGGAGACAGACAATTCCAGCTAGGCTTTGGAGACAGCTAAAGCTGTGCCAGGCTTCAGCCTAGCTCAGTTTTAGTGGCTGAGAGCAACCTAATTGAGCACAGCAGGTCCTGCCTGGCATGGCTGGGGGCAAATCAAAAATCTCCAAAACTTCAGGGGCCATTTTGAAGGCCTGTTTTGTCTTATCCCCTACCCATGCCCGAGGTACAGAGCTCTGGTGCTCTGCAAACATGACAATCATCATTAAAGTGGAAGTCTCTATAGCTGCATTAACCCTTTTGGGAGGCACAGACTCCTTTCTCCTTCCTTTTACAACATCTCAGGGCGCTGATAATGCTGATATGCACCCTGAGAATCACCAGTTCCAAGCTTTCACCCCAGCTAAGCACTGGCAACCGCAGATGCTGCCAACAGAGCAAGTCCCTGTGCTGTTCCTGCCCATGTAGGTGGGATTTGTCGCTGGGTTTTGGAGCAGCACCACCCCAATCCCAGCAGGAGCTGGTGGAAAACCGGCACTCGCCTGGTTAATGAGCGCAGGGAGGTGGATTGCTCACCCTGTCCTTGCACAAGCTGAACCCAGGCCAGTTCTTGATTTCTTAGAACTAAGTGAAGTGATGTCCCAGACATCACTGCATCGCCAGCTGGCCCAGCCGTGCTGTGCAAGGAGCCCAGATCCAGTTGTAGCCTGTTCTGAGCCCTGGGAATGGCTCTTGGGAAAGGAGGGATGTGGGTTGGTGTGCAGAGCGGCCCTCGGCTCTTGCCTGTGGCCACTGAAATGAGAGGGGCTGCTGCTTCAAGTGAGGAATCCCCGCCCCCCCCCCCCTCCCCGCGGCACAGCCTCTGGCTGTGACCCTAGGAATGGGGATTCTGGATGAAGATGGGATGGAATGTCAGAATGGGAGCTGGAGGGGTAGTTTGAGGGGCAAGGATGGGGAGTTTGGGCGGTAAGGATGGAGAATTTGGGGGGCAAGGATAGGAGCTGGAGGGGGAGCTTGAAGGGCAAGGATGGGAATTGGGATTTTGAGGGTCAAGGATAGGAGATGGAAGGGGATTTTGGGGGGCAAGGATGGAGTTGAAGGGGGAGTTTGGGGCACAAGGCTGGAGTTTGAGGGGCAAAGATGGAAGCTAGAGAGGGGCCTGGGGGTCAAGTTTAAGAGCTGCAGGGAGTTTTAGGGGGTACTAAGCAACATGGCAGCACCCAGGGGTCACCCACTGGCAGTGCTCAGCCCCGTGACTATGTCTCTGCTCCCGGACACATTCCCGCGGAGCAGCCCCCCCGTGGGGATGACTCGGTGCGGTACCGCGAGGGCGTGGGGAGCCCTGCTGGGACTGAACACGGACCCCAAAACTGAACCCCCATCCCGGAGCCCCCGCCCCGCCCGGGTCGGGGGGGGGAGGCCGGTCCGCACATGCTCCCTGCCTTGTTTTGCAGGGCCCGGCGGGGCCGGCCCGGCCCGGCCCAGCCAGTCCCTCCCCGCCGGGGCCGCCCCCGGCCGCGCCGGGCGCTTAAAGCCGGGCTCAGCTGCGCTGGGCTGGGTTGAGCCGCATCGCGCCGGTTCTGGGCTCAGCTGAGCCGTGCTCGCTTCGCCATGATTTTCGATCGCCTCAAACGCTTCTCCATCGTGCTGGAGGGCGCGGAGCGGGACGGCCCAGCCGCCTTCAACCCCGGGCAGGCGGTGTCGGGCCGCGTGGTGCTGGAATTGGCGGCGGCCGCCCGGCTCGGCGCCCTGAGGCTGCGGGCGATGGGCGCTGCCCGCGTTCACTGGACCGAGTCCCGCAGCGCCGGCTCCAGCACCGCCTACACGCAGAGCTACAGCGACCAGGTGGAGTTTCTGAGCCACCGCGACACGCTGCTGGCACCCCCAGGTACGGCACCCCCTTCCCCGGGGACGGCACCCGGACCCCCTGGTCGCCGGCCACAGCGGGGGCGTGGGTGCACCAAAGACCCCAGGGGCTGAAACAATGGGGACGTGGGGCAGCCTGGGGCACCCCTGGTGTTGGGTGCTCCAGACGCCCCAGCCGGCTGAAATTTGGGTGCCTGACACCCCCAAACTGCAGAGATCTGGGTGCCAGGGATGGCCCAGCTGCTGGGTGCCTGACACTCCAAAACTACAGAAATCTGGGTGCCTGGCACTCCGACCAGCTGAAATCTGGGTGCCTGGCACCCCAAACGCCTAAAATCGGGGTGCACGGGGTGCCTTAGGATCTGGGTGCTCTGGGAACTGGGTGTGTAGGTCTCTGCAGACACCTCAAATTCGGAGTGCGCTCTGGGGTCCTGGGGTGCACAGCTGGACCCTGCTGTTGTGCAGGGCGCCCTGATTAGGGACTGCCCCCCCTCCCCCAAGACTCCCCCTTTTCTGTGAGCTCTTCCTGGCAAGGAAGCAGCATTAGAAAACTCTCATGAAGGTTCAGGAGCTTGTTTTGAATGGGGTGTCGGACTAGGTAACCCCCAGAGGTCCCCTCCAATCCTGGGGTGCAAACCCTTGAGGGGCACTGGGGGACTGGCCGATGACTCTCCCTCCTGGAGTATGGCTGGGCATCTCTGGAGTAGAGCCCACCTCGGGAAGCTGCCCAGCCCTCCAGGGAGGTGCCCCTGGGTTGTGCGTGTGGAGACACGTGGAAAGCAGACAGTGCCCAACTCTTGTGTCACAGCTGCTGCAGTTTAACCCTGGCAGAGATACTGCTCTGCCCTTGTGCTGCTCCTTTGCTGGGTGGTGCCCATCTGTGCTGCCAGTTCACCCAGGGAAGGCGTTGTGCAGGAAGGAGCTTAATCCTCTTAAATCTGTTTTACCCACAGACAATGGTGAATCCACTGTCCTGCAGGCAGGAAGGCATGAGTTCCCCTTCACCTTCCAGCTCCCCGAGTAAGTTGGCTTTTTTTTGGGTGACAGGGCATCTTGAAAAGGAGGTTCTTTGAGTAGAACCATTTGGAAACTGCTGGTTGCTCACCCACAGGACCCTGGTCACCTCCTTTGAGGGGAAGCACGGCAGTGTGCGCTACTGGGTGAAAGCCAAGCTGCACAGACCCTGGGCCACAGTGAAGAAAGCAAAGAGGGAGTTTACTGTGATTGAACCCATCGACATCAACACACCTGCACTGCTGGTGAGTTCCCCCTGCTCCACCCTGCCATCCAAAACTTACCTCAGAAGCCCATGTCTGCCTAGGCCTGATTTCCAGAGGGAATATTTACCCCCCTGTAATTTACGCCCTCCAGCATTACCTAGGCTGGGCAGAGGTCAGCTGTGCCTCTTTGTTTTTGGAAACTTTAACACGTTGCAACAGCATCTTGCATCAGGTGCCTGAGAAGTTGCTGATGCTTTCCCAGCAGGTTCTTGGTGCCAGCGAGGTGATTGCTTTGAGTTTCATCCTTACTTGCTAAATTGCCTAAAGATTTCCCCTTCTTCAGGCTCCCCAGGCAGGTGCTAAGGAGAAACTTGCTCGTGCCTGGTACTGCAATCGTGGCCAAGTGTCTGTGACTGCCAAGATTGACCGAAAAGGCTACACCCCAGGTGAGATGAGGGGCTGGTGCCCTTGAACCTCAAGGGGCCCTGGAATAGACCCCAGGGGAGGGGATTTTTGGGATCACTGTGAGCTGGGTTCTTCTGGCACGAAATCAGTCAGAGCTTTAGTGCATGGACCTGATGTGGGCAGCCTCCTTGGGATGCTCCCGGATTAATCCATGTGTCTGCAGTGCTGGGTAGCATGGCCAACCCTCGATGATCCTGTGCAGGAATTCCTTGAAGCAGGACTGGGTTCTGTCTCCCTTCCTCCAACATGTTGTGTGTCTGTTTTGGCAGGTGAGGTCATCCCTATCTTTGCTGAGATCGACAACTGCACAAGCCGGGCTGTGGTGCCCAAGGCGGCCATAATCCAGACCCAGACCTTCATCGCTCGGGGCACCAAGAAGCAGAAGAGGTCAGTGGTGACCACCATCACTGGGGATTCCATTCCAGCAGGGAAGCGGGAAGTGTGGCACGGGCGGGCCCTCAAGATCCCGCCCGTGGGGCCTTCCATCCTCCAGTGCCGCATCCTCCAGGTGGAATATTCCCTGAAGGTGAGGGACCTCATGAGGAGCTCTGCAGGTAGCTGCAAGAACTCCCTCCTGCTCTGGGGAGGTACCCGCCCCTCCAGACTGGGAAAACACCACAGCTAAGCTTCCCTGCTGCTTCCTGTCCCTGCAGGTTTGTGTGGATATTCCTGGGACATCCAAGTTGCTCCTTGAACTGCCGCTTGTCATTGGGACCATCCCGCTGCATCCGTTCGGGAGCCGCACATCCAGTGTCAGCAGCCAGTACAGTGTCAACCTGGACTGGCTGAACAGTATCCCGGAGCAGCCGGAGGGTGAGCATCTCCCTCTCCCCTGGATAAACCCCCTTGTCAGGACAGCAAGGGTCAGACAAAGTTTTCAACTGGTCCAGCATTTGCTTTTTCTTTGTAACTTAATTTTTTGGTTGTTATGCTGAATCTCTTGGGTTCCTTTGCCAGGGAACTGGGAGGGTTTGGGTAAGAATGGTTTTGGAGCTCTTTACCTGTATATCTCCCATTAATGGAGAGTGCTTCCTATTCCCTGATGGTTCTCCTTTCTCTTCAGCCCCCCCTGAGTACTCAGCAGTCGTGTCCAGCCCTGAGGCCGAGCAGAGCCTGGCCCCACCATGCCGCAGCGAGCTTGGCGACATCCTGGAAGGTCCCTTCTTCGCCTACATCCAGGAATTCCGCTTCCGACCTCCTCCTCTGTATTCAGAGGTAGCACATCCCCCTGGGCTGAGAGACTTCTGGGGATGGCTGGGGAAATGTCCATTGCTGAGGTTTTTTGACTCCACACTTGGCTTTGCAGGTTGATCCCAACCCCCCATCAGACAGCATCCGCCCACGCTGCATGACCTGCTGAGAGAAGTGCGTCGGACGCTGCTGACAGTGTGGTGATCCCTTGGGATTGGAGCTTGCACACCCTCACAGCACTTCAGGCTGGAATGGGGATGTGGTGTCCGTGAAACCAGAGCTTTGTAGTGCCAAGACCCTGGCTCTGCTCACCACCCTTGGCTGCTCCTGTCGTGACTGTCCCACAGACCCACACCCAGTGCGGTGCCGTGGCCTCGGGAGTGTGGGGGGGAGAACACAAGGGACCTGGCATAGTGGAGTGGCTCTGTGTGTGGCTGGGTAGAATGTGGAGGGTTTAGTAACTGCCCCAGGATTTTGGGGTTAGAACAGGGAACACCTGGCATAAGCCAGGATTGCTCTCCCCTTGCTTGCAGTGCTGAGCTCCGGCAGCTCCTGTGTGGAAAGCAGGAACTTGGAGGCGTTTCTCAGGATTGTGGAGAATGTTTTGATGTTGCTCAGGGTTGAGCCCCGGGGCGATGCGGATGGAGCCCTTTGCCTGCAGGTCCCTGAGGAAGCGAAAGGCCTTTTTCTGGTCAGATGAAGCAGAGGCTTTGGCTGCTGCTGATAATGCTTGCCACAAGCCTGTGGGTACCTGCAAGGGGAATGGTTTTGAGCTACTCACCTGAAATGTAAAGGCTTCCAAGGGCTGTTACGAGGACTTGGGGGATGAATTTATGATCCATGGCAGCATTTTGGTGCCATTTACCAAGAACAGGAAGGCTGGTTCCTGTGTGTCAGCACCAAACCTGTGCACTGTGCTGGTGCCTCTTCCGTGATGCGGCTGAAAAACCAGTCCCCAAACTGTGGTACCACCATGGGGGCTTGGAGCTGTGGCTGGTGGCCTAGGAAAAGAGAAAAAAGCATAATCCAAGGCTGGTGGCAGCCACAGATGCTGATGGGAGATACGGAGTTCAAATGAATCTTTCAGAGCCAGGAGTCCTGCTCAGAATGGGCTTGAGCCTGTGCCTGTAGAGGGGTCGGTGGCCCTGGTGGGGTGAGGACACAGCAGCAACCTGTGCTCACTGGGTTGGGAACTGCTGTAGAACTGGTGAGCTGGATGTTGCAGCAATGAGTGTGTGTGTGTGGCAGGGGCTGACCCTGCTCGCTCCAGGGTGACCTGAGCAGAGTTTGGGGGCCAAGGATCTTTGCATTCCCTCACTGAGACAATCCTTGGCCATGCACATCCAAAGCCAGCGTGCCTTGGGCTCTGCGCCGGGGCTACCTCTGCTCGCTGGGGTTGCTCAGATGAGTCTTTTCTATCTGTGAACACTTTTGTAATGACCACTCTTGTCTCTACTCATTTTGTATGACTTTTTTTGTGGGGAATTTTTGTCTGAAATAAATTCCTTAAGTATTGCCTGGGTAGTTTTCTGTTTCTCTTCCTGCTTCCCGTTGTCCGGAGCCATGTGGCTGTTGGGATGTGGGAGTTCTCCCTGCCCTCGCTTTGTTATCCCATTGGCATCCAGCTCCACCCTCTGCCCTGTCCCACTGTGTGCTGGGGTTAACTGGGTCACTGCTTCCCATCAGGATTGGTCCCTTGTGCCTCTGGCTCCTCCGTAGCTGTGCAGGTTTGGCTTTTTTCCCATTACCTGGGATGCAGGGCAGTGAGCAAACCTGTTGCATTTTTCCACACTTGCTTCCTGTTTGTGTCCAGGCTCTTGGGAGGACACACACCCTTTCCTCCATCCTGAGCCTGGCAGGGAGCCAGTAGGTCCAGCTGGGAGCTGGGACACTCCTGCTTTGGCTCAGCCGGGCCCAAGGAGGGTTGGGATCAGCCCCATGCTGTGCTGGCTGGGAACTGCTGCTGTGTGGGAAGAGCAGGGAGGCTCCTTCACCTGCTTCCTCCGGCTGGGATTTGGTTTTTAACAGCGTTTCTGTGCTCCACATCTCTGCTGAGCACAGCAACTCTTGGTGTGTGCAAGGCAAGGCTTGAGTCAGGGCTTTAGTTGTCTTCCACAGGCTGTGCTGCTTTTAAAATACTACCATTGGAATGTGATTTTTTTTTCACTCCCCCCCTTTATTTATATTTATGTTTGCTGAGCTGCTCAGTGCCGCAGCTGCATCCAAGCACATGCTCCTGCCCTAGGTCATGGGAGAGAACTTGTCCCTGTGTTTGCCTGCGAGAACCTGGTGCTCCTGCAACTTTTATTCAAATCTGCTTTTTATTTCGTGTCCCTGGTGCTCCAAGTAATTTTCCCTGGAGGAGGATTAACTGGCCTTTCAGGGAATTTGTTTGCATCCTCCTCTGGGGAGATCATGCCTGGATCTGCCACTGCCACACAGTGCTGCATGGCCTCTCTGGGGCTTTTTGGTGACATCAAAGGGAACACGAAGCACAGCACTGCACCCCCTGGGTAAAGATGCCTCCAAAGCAAGCCCTGTGACCAGGCTGATCCCAGCATGGCACAAGGGAGCTGTTCTGTGCTGTGCAGCAGAGATGGCCGGGGGCTGCTGGTCAGACCCGGATCATCTGCCCTGGCTGCACAAGGGGATGCTTATTCCCAGGGCTGGAGGGGGAGGCGAGTGCCCAGCACCCTGTCTATCCCACTGCTTCTTTCTGGGAAACCATGTCACACGGTGACTGGGACAGGCCGTGCCGAGCCGGGGAGCCCAATGTTGGCGGGAACTGCTCCCGGCCCTTGAGTGGGAGAGATCTTTCCAGCAGGGATTCTTGTAGATGCCTCCAGGTTTTTCTTGTACAGTCGGGCAGCAGCGCAACAAGGCCAGGCTGGAGCTCCTGCCAGGAAAGGGCTGCACTCCTGAATCCAAGGAGGGGCTAAAAATACCTTGTCTGGACACTTGGAGCAGGGGCACGGTGCAGACCTGCCCCAGGCAGTGCTTTCCCAACCACTGGCAGTGCTGCCAGTGCTCTCTCCAACCTTCTGTTGTTTATCTTCCCCAGCTCCAAAGTCCTGATTGAACAGCCTGGGCTGTTCTCTGGTTTATTGGCACAGGGAGGTTGGGGCACACGGAGCTCCCTGGGGGTCTACTGAGCCGGGATGGCCCCGTGCCATGTGCGGTGGTGCCGGCTCAGCACAGAGACCCGATCCCAGGCAGGAGGCGCGTGATGCAACTACAGTGCCGGGATTATTTATAGCTCTTGGCCCCGTGTGCTGGAAAAAGCTGCCCAGACCACCCGGCAGAATCTGCTCCTTGCGAGAGGCACAGAAACCCACCCCCACCCCCCACTCTGCTACTCTCTTTTTTACCCTTCAGTCCCAAAAATGTGGGACCCCTTTGCTCTGGCCACAGGGGTGCTGATACTTCCCTCATATTGCAAGCTCCACAGCTCTGCAGAGTGCTGGGACCCCTCCCCACTGCAGTTCAACAGCCCTGCAGGGTGCTGGGACCCTCCAGAAACGGCAGCTCACAGCTCTGAAGGGTGCTGGATCTAGAAGATGCTGGGATCCCCTGGCTGCAGCTCATGGCCCCGTAGCCCTTTCTGCATTGTGTTGGGGGGCTACTCCTTCCCCCCGGCCCTCCTTGTTTCCAGAGGATGCTCGGCCCTATCACTTGAGGCTGTTGTCCCCTGGCAGGGGGTCAGTGGCGGGGGATCAGTGGTGGCCGTGCTGCGGGAAGGGTGACACGCGAAACTCGTGGCCGACCCGGCATTGGCAGGGACAGAATGTGCTGTAGCTGGCGCAGCCTTGCGAGGGCCGGGATTAACTGCGCCGCTGCTGCCTCCGGCCCGGGAGGGCCCGGGAGCCCATCCAGCTCCCAAACCAAGCACCACCTTCCCCCATCCCAGCTGGGCTGAGCCCTGCAGGACACAACTCACCCCAAAACCTGCCGAGGGGCACCCGTTGGGGGCTGCTCTGTTTGCACGGGGTGGGGAGGCGGTCGGTGATGATAAATCTGGATTTTGGCCCTCTTCTGTCCTTGCACCGGGGACAGGGTTCATGCACTGCTCAAATTCAGCATCTTCGTGCTGGTGGGATGGGGGGTTCACAGCACTCCCACCCTGGGGAGCAGTAGTCGGTACTGATGGGGGTTCAGGGGGACCTGTTCACCTCCAGGTCGAACACTTGAAGGGGACACACACAGTCCCCAGGAGCACCGGGCCTTGCTTTGGGTTTGCTCTAACCTCCGGCTGTGGATGGCATGGCTTGGCCCTGGCACCATTTCAGGGCTCTGGGGGTTCCCCTTCACGCGGCAGCGGCAGAGCTGTGCCAGGGCTCCGGGAAGCAGCCGTGCACCCCGACATGCTGGGGCGGCATCGCGGCCGCCCCTCCGCCCGCTGACTCAGTCGCCTGTTTGCCGGAGCCGCTCCCGCCCACGGAAACCACAGGCGAAGTCCCCGCATCCCTGCGCCGGGGCTTTCCCCACTGGCTTGACAGGAATCGCAGCTTTTCCCAGCCCGGTGCGGGCACTGAGCTCCTCCGGGCGCGGGGGGGCGGGGGAAACTGCGGGCAACCGCGGTGGGTTTGTGCCAAAAAGCGGGGCCTGGAGCAGCTGGATGGACCTGTTGCATGTGCCACATGTCCCGTCCCCTGCGAGCATCGTTCCAAGGGGATCATAGACCGGGACAACCCACAAACCCCGATGGCGGCGGGTGCTACCGATGCCTTGCCCCAGGCTGCCGGGAGCAAACCACCTCCTTTATTCACTATATCAAACCCAAGCCCTTGTTTTTTTGGGTCTGACCCCCTCATTTGGGGTCCCTCGCTGTGGCACTGCCCAGTCCCTTGCACAGTCACTGCTCTCTCCCTCCTGTCCTCCGGCGATGGAAAATTTCTATGACTTTTTGACTTTTATCCAGTTGTTGGGAGAGAGGAAGGGGCCGGCGCCGCGCACAAACATGTCTATGTATAAACACTGGAGACTGAATAAGGAGCCGCTGGCACCGGACCCTCCCCCCCGAGCCGGGTGTCCCCTCTCCCGCCGGGACTCCAGTGCGGCGCCCCGTGTTCGGTGACCCAGAGTCGTCCCTGCGGGGACACAAATATTTTGGCTTTGTTTAAAAAAAAAACCCAACACACTCAAAAACAACAACACTAAAAAATTCCCCCCCTATGCCGAGCCATCCAGCGGCGGCGCGTGACGTGTTGGCACACAAACAGTGCGCACGGGGATGGCGCTCACCCAGCCCAGGGCTCCCGCGCCGGTCTGGGATTTGCAGGTGACACGGCCATACCCTGTGACAGGGACGTGGAGCGATAGGACTTTGCTCCCAGCGCCGCTCCCCACCCCGGCTGTGTTTCCTGTCACTCCCCGGCGCCGCTTCACAGATCGCAGAGAAACCCCCATCGAGCACGGGGTGGGTGCCCGACCCCTGCCGCGGGGACACCCCACGCCCTGACCCCCAAATCTCCCCACAGCTAAAACCTTGCTCGTGTGGGCCGTGTGCCACCACCTCCCTCCCTGCTGGGCTGCTCTGGGTGTTCCCCGCTGAGAAGGGAGAAGTCGGGGCTGTCACCCTCACTGCTCACTGTCACCTCATCCTTGCTCTGGGGCAGGAATGATGGTGTGACCCTGTCAAACCCCACGGCTCTGATCTCTCCTCCCATTCCCCAACCTTAAAGTCTTCCGAAACAGGGTTATGCCCTTTTTTTTCTTCCCCACCACTCTGCAATAAACAGCAAGTTTGAGCTGATTTCAACAAAAAAACCCTCAGATTAAGCTCAATTTTGGGGGGGAGAATCAGAACCACAGAATATTCTGAGTTCAAGGCAGCTTGCAGGGATGCCCCCTGCCCTTTCGCAACCACATTAGCAAGCCTGCGTCCCATTATTTTTTAATGCAGGCATTTGTGTGGAGCAGGGAGAGGCATTTTCCTGCTGAGCAGCTGTGTAAATGTCACCACATTGCGGCCCGGCGATGGAGGCAGCGATAGCCCGGGAGGTCCCAGCTGGTTGGAGGTGGCTGTGGCGGACAGTGCCGGTGGGGAGGGTGCTGCCGAACGGTCCCGGGAGGGGCTGAGCCGGTTCCCTCCGCTTTCCTGGCGGTTTGGTCTGTGAAAAAACGAGAGAGAGTCGATCTGCCTGCGAAGAGCTGGTAAACATCGGGGGAGCGGAGCTGGGAGAGGGGGCGTTGCTTTTGGTCCTGTGTATCGCTGCACAGCCAGGCAGGCTGCTTGCTCCGGGTTGAGCCTGCACGGTTGCGGGAGGGGGTGGTGTGCTGTAAATAGGGGATTTTGGGGGGTTCTCTGGTTCTTATCGAGTTGTCCTTAGGTCAACTCTGGCCGCCTGCTTGAGCAAAATATGTTTATGCTGCAAACCTCCGGCCGGCTCCGCTGCCAAGTGGGCAGGCAACGCGTGTGCTGATAAGAGCGCTGCGTCCTCCCCTTCCCGATCACCCGATACCCAGGGAAGCGCACGGAGGCGGCCTCCCACCTCCCTACACCCTGGATTTATGATTTCTTTTACTATTATTATAAAGTTTCCGTTGAAAAGAAAAACAACCACAATTCAATAGCTGCGGCTTTGCAGCTGCCAAAGCCTGGAAAGCTCTGGCCGTGCCAGCGTCTGAGCTGCCCCCGGGGCTGCCGGCCCTGAGAGCAGCCATCCGAAAACGTTAAAACTGCAGAAAGAAAATGCTTCCTGCCATCACCCGAGCTTCCCTCTGAAGGTAGAAGATGGTTTTCACCGTCTTCTTCCAGCTCACATGCTGGGACAGGCAGCATCCCAGCGGGATTTTGAAGTGAGCTGAGCACCCAGTGCAGTCCCAGGGGCAGCTCCGAGCCCTCCTCGGTTTGTTAAATATTCAGTTTTGGTGCTGCTTGAAGTCGTTTTCCCTCCTTGGTTTTGGAAACAGTGCTGGCCCGGGTGAGCCTGTTGCAGGCAGGTTCGGGCTGACGTGAGCAGGAAAGAGCCAGGGTGGCCGCGGGGCCTGTTTGCGAAGTAGAACCGAGTTGTTGTTGTTGTTGTGACACCGAATGGTTGCAAAACGCCGGCGCTGAAATACCCGTGACTTTCAAAACAAGCTGAGCCCAGCTGTGGCTGGAGGCTCTTTGTCCAGATGTGTCTGTCTGTCCAGCTGTGGGCCACGCAGCCCCTTCCCCACTGCAGGATGCCTGTGCCAGCTATGCATGGAGGTTTTTTTGCTATGAGAAGAATTCCAGAAGCTTTTTTTAGAGAGGAAAAGCCCAAATTCCGAAGCTGCTGAGATTTTACTGCCCCAGGGATCTGCCGAGCATCCCGCCCACCGAGGTTTTGCCAGTGCTGGGGGGGTGGATGAAATGAGCTGTTCACCGCTGGGGCGAGACACAGCCTTTGAGTTCTGCTTAAAAAATAAAAAACCCTAAAAAAAAATCCCAGGGATCAGTTTGTTTGCTTAGGGATTTAGTCACCTAATCTGCCTGGCAGCGGGTGGCATTGTGGAGGTGGTGACAGGCTTTTTGCCTGGCAAATAATCCTGCTCTTAGCCATAGCTGATGGTCGAGCTGGGCTCAAACATCCCATCGGCATCGGCTCTTCTCTGGGATGGGGCTCAGGCAGGAGGAAAGGGTGCTGGGTGTAGGGAAAGGGGTGGGAGAGGGAGGGATGAATGGGTGAGGGAGGGATAGATGGGTGAGGGAAGGGACTGGGAAAGGAATGGATGAACGAGCGAGGGAAGGGGTTGCAGGGTTGCAACATTCTTCTTTGCTTCCCATGCTAAAACCAGGCTGTGGCTCTGTGGGGCTGTTTCTCCGAGGCTGAGAAACAGGTTAAACTCCTCAATCTGGGAGCAAAACATCTTAATCTGGGGAAAAAATATCAGCCTGGACCCACAGGGATGGACCTTGTCTTCCCTGGGGGCTTAGACGTCCGAAGGGCTGATGCTGATGGGGCCATAGTGAACCACTCAAGCTGTTTTATGTTTTTCCTCTGGTGCCATCTGAGCTTACATCCCCCAAAATCAAGAGGAAATGGCTTCAAGTTGCTGCAGGGGAGGTTTCAGGAAAAATTTCTCCACCCAAAGGTGGTCAGGCACAAGAACACGCTGCCCACGGCAGTGGTGGAGTCCCCATCCCTGGAGGGATTTAAAAGCCATGTGGATGTGGCACCTGGGAACGTGGTTTAGTGGTGGGCTTGGCTGGTGTGCTGGGTTAATGATTTGACTCGATAATCTTGGAGGGCTTTTCCAACTTTTATGATTCTAGAAAATCAGGGAGCTCAAGGCAAATCCCCAGGCTCCCACCACCTTGCTGCAGCTCTGGCTGCCCCACCTGCTTTCTTGGGATGTGGTGCTGAGTTTTCCACTTGCAGGTAAATCCACCTGCACATGTCCCTCGTGCCATTTACTTTTGGGAACACATGACTGGGACTCTGTGGGAATAGGGAGGGAATAAGATGAGGTTTTTCCCCTTTAAAGCAGGGATGCTCCATGTTTGCCCAGGGAAACAGCACTGTCACTAGTGGTGTGTGGGCAGTGCTGGCACCAGTGGGTGTGAATAGGGGAACCCATAGCTTGAGGTGACTTTGGGATCGATGCTGAACCCCTTGTGCCCCCACCATTACACCCCTCAGCTGGGCTGACCTTTATTTTCCCTGCTGTGATGGCTTGTGGCTGCTTATCCTGGAGTCTCCTGTTGGGTGTAACGAGTTGCCCACCCTCAGGCTGTGGGTGGTGGTGGCTCTCACCAGGCATAATCGATGCCCTGTAGCATGTCTGGGTCCTGCACCCATTCGGATCCGGATGGAGGAGCAGGGAAGGTCATGTCCTGGCTGCAAAGTCTGGCCTGGCAGCTACCCTTGGGTCGCCAGGCTCAACACAGCTCCTGGGGACTCATTTGGAAAACAATCCTGTGAAATTTAAACTAATTAGAAAGTCCTGAGCCACTCGCTTGCACTAATTGGCAAGTTATGGCTTGATTAGTTTTCCCCGGCACGTTGTTCACGGGCACCATGTTCCTGTCAGAGCACTGGCCAGCTCGAGACACGTGTGGGAAAAGATGCACAAGGCCAACCCTGAAGGCATCAGAGGGGGTGTGAGCGGCACCATGGGTGGGATGGATCCCTGGAGGGTGCCACCATGGGGGGTCTGCTGTTCCCCCTCCCTAGGGTGTTTTTAATGCAGCAATTGGGACTGTCTGTCCTGCTGTGAACTCATTCAGTGAACCGGAATGATTAACTGGCGTCGGCTCTGGCCCCGAGACGGGCAATGTGTTTACTGCTGCCACCCAGCCGTGCTGAGCCGTGACCCCAGAGCTGTTTCCTTCATTGCTCTGACCCCGGGCTGTAAACAGGGGCCGGGGCTGAAACGCGAGTGTGCACCCGCTCCTGTAACCGGATACTTCCTCCCTGTGTGCCTGGTGTGCTCCGACAGTGAGCCTGGCATCGCCCAAATCCCAACAAAATCCCTAAATCTGATCCCCGCGCCTGGGTTTCTGAGTGGCAGGACGCCAGATCTCCAGCCGATCCCCAGGGATTTGGGGTGCGCAAGAGAGGACACGGGGGGCCTGTGAGGTGATGCGTGGCGGGGAGGGAAGGATGAATTTGCTCTGCCAAGAGGTTGGGAAGCGCCGTGGGGACGTGGGGCTGATGCCACCTCGTGGCTTCATCAGCAGCTGAACGTCCTGGGCTGGGTGAAGATGCCGGACGCTGGTGGGCACGAGGACGGTAGCACAGTGATGCGGGTCCTGAACGGGACCCCCAGCCATGGGAGAAACACCATCGCAGCCACTTCACCTCTGGAGCGCTGGGAATGGCCATAAATCCCAGCCCACCCGTCCCTGGCGGGGGTTGCGAGGTGACCATGCCGCCCCGCAGCCCCGCGCTCCCGGTGCGGTGTCTCCGCTAGGCATCGGCGTCGTTTCCGCCCGCGGTGCTGGTGCTGCGAGCGCGATTTTGGTGAAATCCTTTGCAAAACACGAGCTAAAAGCAGCAGCGGGGAGGCCGAGCCGTGTGCTGGTGGCTGAGACACCGCGGCGGTGCCTTACCTGGACTTCCCCGTGCTACCAACCCCACGTAGTTTGTAGTTTTTTAAAATTTTTTGCTCTCTCAGCAAGTCAGCGCCGACGCCGCCAGGCAGAGAAAACCACAAATCGCTTCTCATCTCCAATTCTGCCCCAGATAAAGCCCAAGGCGGCAACGTGGCCCCACACGAAGGGGCTGGGGGGGGGCGAGGGATCACCCCAGACCGGCTGTGTCCTCTGCAGCGCCATGGATTGCCCTCGGCTCTAAATCCTTGCTGCAATCTGCCCGGGTCAGGCGAGGAAAAACCATCTCAGCCCTGCTGCTTTGTGGAGTTACTTAATTTTTTTATGTTTGCCTTTTTTTTTTTTCTCTTTATTTTTTGCCGATTTTTTTTTTTTTTTTTGCAGGTAGATGGTGTTTGGTGCTTTGCATCCCCATCCCATGGAGGGGATGCTGGTCCCAGCGGTGGAAGCTGGCAGGGATGAAGTTCTCCCTCTCCTCCTGATCCAGCCAAGGAAATACCCTCAGCCCTGGACAGACTCTGGAGCCACCATCCCTTGGTTTTTATTCCTGGTGAAAAATTGAGGCTGGGAAGTGTGTGGCTAAAACCTGGCATGGTGCAACACAGAATCCAGAGACATCACCTTCCTTGTCCTGGAAACCAGAAAACCCCCTGAAAGTGCTGGCTTGACCATGATCCCATGGGGTAGGCACCCAGCATCCCACACACTCAGCACCCCATTGGACACCCTATTCCTGCCATCCATCCCTGCTGCTCCAGCCTGGTGATGGCTATGGTACCGACTTCTCCTGCGATAGATTCCATCCTTCCTGGTCCCCGATGATGATGGATTTGTTGGAGATGAGCAGGGCAATGGGGATCAGCGGCTGGCATAGCTCCTGCCTTCCCTCCTCTTCCTCCTCCTCCTCCTCCTCCTTGCCGGGTGGGTGCCCAGTGCAACTGGTGCTGCCAGGCGGTGGAAATCCCACTGGGCTCAGCATCTCCTGCCTGCGGTAGGCAAAGGTCATCTCCTCCTCACAGCCTGGCGGACACACCACCAGCACCTCTGCTGGTTTTTCCATCACAAGACTGGGCTGTGGCACGTTGGGCTGTGGCACGCTGGGACGAGGCACATCAGTCTGTGTGGTGGTGTCAGTTGTCTCCTTGCTGGGATTCAGCTCCGTCAGCAGCAGCTCAGCTGGGTTGAACCTCTCCGAGGGCTCCAGGAGGCCTATCCAGGTCTGGCCCTAAGGGTTGGGTGGGTTTGGGGTGGAATGTCCCTTGCCAGGACCATGTGTGGGTGTTTGTGGGCAGCACCTTGCATCTCACCTGGCCCTTCTCACCGGCAGAGAACTGGATGGCATTGGTGCCCACAGGCTTAGGAAGAGGTGGGAAGAGGAGGTGGCGAGCCCTGGGAAGGGAGGGGGTGGTTAGTGAGGGGTTGGGCAATGGGGGGTGACCTGAGCTGTGTGGGTGGCAAGGGTGCTGCTGTCACCTCTTTTTGGTCAGGTGGTAGATGGCAGCCATGACGGGGACACTGAGCGAGATGCCCAGGTACTTCAGGTTGGCTCTCCACACTGCTCCCTGAGGACCTGGGGACAGGCATGGCTGGGTGGTGGCATTCCTGTCCCCAACACCCCACATGGGACACAGGAGACATTTCGGGGTGAGGGCGAGCACCCCATGGGGAGTGGGGAGAGGATGGGATCCCAACCGTTACCTAACGCCTTGGTCTGGAATTTCTTCCAAGCACTGCAGGTCCCCTCGCTGTCCTTTGTCACTTCCCAAACACCCACCCTGTAGGCTGTGCCGGGCTGGAGGTTTTGGAGGGTGTAGTTCACTGCTGTGGCATCAGCTTCACTGTCTGGGCAAACAACAAATGGGCAGCAGTCTGGCAGCTGCCTGGGCAGCACCCTCCTCCTGCCCCACAGGGCTAGAGGAGTCCCACTCACAGGTCATGTTGGCCCTCTCGGCCATGTGGCAGATGAGGTACTTGGCCAGCACCCCAGGACAGGCGGCGCGGGGGGACGGTTTCCACTGGAGGACGACGCCGGCATCTCCGCTGCTGATGTCAATGGGCACGGCCAGCGAGCCTACAGGTAGTGGTGCCAAAAAAGGGGGGAGTGTTTCTGGAACCCCTTTCTGTAGTTAAACCAGGCATAGATGTGCTGTGCTCCCACACATACCATTGTTGGCATAGTGGTGCCACAGGGCGAAGGTGGCCCAGCCCTGCTCCGGGTCCCAGCCGTGCACGGCAAGGCGATGACACGCCGGCACTCTCAGTGCTCCTGGGGCAGGAACCGGGGGTGCTGGTTAGACCCCCACCAAGCTCTGACCCCAGGTGGGGGGCTTGGGGTGCTCCCTTGCCTTTCTCCACGTGGATGCTCTTGGCAGGGAATTCCTCTTGGATGCAGACACCCTGTTGGGGGGCTTCTGCCAGGACCTGCTGCTCGAAGCAATAGGCCTCGCCCGGGATTGGTGCTTCCCATTGTGCCGTCACGGTGCTACCGGCCACGCTGACATCCTTGAAGCTGAGATCTGGGATGAAATGAGGGATAGCTGGAAATAACAACTCCCTGAGGGGCTACCAGGGGAGCTCGGCCCTCCTGTGGGATAGGTACCTCTATGCTGCTCTGCCGGCACGTGGAGCTGTGACGCCGGCCCTGGCCCAGCGGCGTTGACGGCCCTCAGCAGGATTTCGTATTCAGCTCCAGACAGGGTGAGGTTGTACTCCCTCACCTCCCACCCCAGCACCACAATGTCCTCCTCGTCCAGCTCAGCACAGCCACACGCTGGCATGTGGGCGTGCAGTGTGTAGTTGACATCCCTTTGTCCCTTGAGGACTGGCTGGGGAGGGAGAGTGGACAGTGTGGGGGATGAAATGGTGGGGGAGACACTCAGGAGGGTCCCCAGAGATGCCGCTGTACCTGCCAGCTCAGCCTCAGCACCCGCTGCCCATGTCTTCCTAGTTTTTCCAGTTGGTGGCTCAGCACTGGGCTCTCCAGGATTTCTGCAGGAGGGACAAGCCTGACTGAGTGATCAATGTTTTTGGGAGCTGGTAGGATCCCACCAGCCTCCCCTCCTCTTCCTTACCCTCGGGAACAGAGATGTTGCTGCTCCAGTCACTCCAGTAGCTGCTCCAGGTCTTTTGCCGTAGCTGGACCACAAAGGTGCCATTCCCCTTCAGGGTACAGTTCACTAGAGGGGGGTGGCAGGGTCAGGTGGGAGATGACCCCTCTTTCTCCCAGCTTTTGGCTGTTGTGGGTGCTGTGGGAGAGCATGGGGCAGAGCATTCTGCCAGAACCTGGGAATACTCCCAGAAGATGCTTGTCCCCAACATCCCCACAGGCTCAACCAACCTGAGTCATCTTCATCTTTCACCATCACGGTCATACATTCCACCTGTAAAGAAAACTGGGAATGAAGACACCCTCCTAGTAAAACCAGTATGTTACTGGGCCATCAGCGTGATCTGCAATCATCCCAGGCGCTGGGAGAAACAAATAGAGGGGACATGGTGGCCCAAGGGATTTCCTTGGTTGGGGTAGCCCCTCTTCAACCCTGGGACCCTCCTGGCAGCAACTGAGAGGAGCAGGGGGTCCCCAGCTGCAGGGGCTTCACTGGGGACAAGCGTCCAGATTTCATCTGTTGTCGTCATTAGTATAATCTGGGGTTTTGCCTGTGTAATCCCTTCGAATCACGGCCTGATCCTGTTATGGGAAGCAGCAAGATCCCATGGCCAGAAGATGAGGCAGAGCCGATAAGGCAGAGAAACAGATGGGGCACAGCTGGGTTTGGGGGGGAGGACAGTGACATCACTGAGCCCCCACACTCCCCGGGCTGCCACAGTGCTCCCAACTGTCCCAGCTCCAGCAAACAGCATTTTTACTTGTGTCCAGCCGCTGTCTCCTGCCCTCCAGGATCGAGCCTCCCGCTCTGCTGGCTGGTCCATGCCAGGGCACTGTGGCCGTGGCACCCGCAGCCTCAGCTGGCCGTCAGTCTTGGAGAAGGGCACCCGTGAGGGAGGTGGATCTGGCTTTTCTGCAAAGATGTTGTTTTGAGTGGTTTTGGCAGTTTTTGGCCCTGGTGCTGGTGTTCAGCCTGGTCCCACAGGCACTTACCGGCCTCGTTGAAGACAAATGTGATATTGGGGGTCCTGTGGACGTGGCCTTCCCAGCTTGCCTCTACCCAGGCCACAGCGTTGTTTAAGATGTACAGCTTGTGATGTGGCAGTTTGTAGTTTGTCATCTTGTGTGCATCAAACTGGCTACACCCTTTGTGCTGCCAGCTGGGGAGGGAGTGGGCACAAGGTCAAATCCGGGTGAGGCAGGACACATCCCATGGGCTCCCCATCCCCCTCCACAATGCCCAACTCACCAGAGATTCAGGGAGTAGGAGGTGTTGCCAGCAGGGCCGAGGGGTGACCAGGAGCAGTGGAAAGAGTTGAGGGAGTTGCATTTCTTCCAGCAGGAGAAGTTCTGGGCTGTGATGGTGCCTGTGGTATAGGGCAGTGTCTGGGGGCTCCCGCATCCCATACCCTTTCCCATGCACTGAAGGAGCAGCGCTGTAGCTGTTGCCTGATCACCATGCTGCTCGACTGGGGTATTGGAGCAGCCACATGAGCGATTCTCACCAAGACCCCTCACTTCCCCCATCCCCAGTGATACTGGTGCTGCTCACCCCAGTCCTGCCCGCTGCCAGCAGGGATTCACCGCCTTTACTCCATCCCTGTGGTTTTGGGTGAGCATCTCCATCGCAGCACCACCTCCCTTGGCCTTATCACCCCCGAATCACTCACTGAAAGTCTTCTGAAGTTATCTCTCATCTCCCAGCACCGCAGCAACACTTACCGCCCGCCACCAGTGCTGCCAGCAGCCACCCCAGCATCGCCCACCCGGGGTGTCCCACTCCGGATTCAGGGCTTCTCTGCCCTTCCTGGCTGCCCAATCCCCCAGCACCCAATGAGTGCCCCTCTCAGGCGTGGTGGCAGCCCCGGTGCTCAGCACAGCTTCCCATGCCTGGTGTTTCCTCTTCTGCTCAGACCGCGCCGGAGGGCGGCCGTTCCCAGGCAGGTCAGAGCGTGAGACGTGAGTGCCTGCCTCACTTTTACCAGAAACAAAAGAGAAAGCAACGCAAAATATCCCGCTTTTTTGCCAGCACGGCTGCCGGGATGGGGCCAGCCCTGCCCTGCGGCTGCACCTCGTGTCCCAGCTGCACCACGTGCCCCAGCACGGCCAGAAGCGCAAGGTAAGCGAAAGATGAGTCTTGGGGTTTTTGGTTGGGTTGTTTTTTTTGCAAACTTCACAGCGTGGTTTTGATCTTCTGCCTGTAACTGAGCAAATCTCCAAGGTTGGGGTTGTCCAGGTTTTTTTGGGGGGGGGGTGTGTGTTTCCAAACCCGGCTGCTGTGCTCGTTTCCAGCACAGCTCATTCCCTGCGCCACAAGCAAAGCCCCAGTGAGGTGGGAGAGCACGGTGGCACCGGGGCACCAGCAGCCGTGTGACGGGCGGGTGACTTCGGGACGGTGGAGCCGGGTGGCACCGAGGGCCATGCACAGAGTCCCCTTGTTTCCACAGAAAGTGGCTCCTTGTGTGGTGCTCGCTCGGGGCCGGAGGGCAGTGGTGGTGGGAGTGTCTCTGTGCTGGGACAGTGTGGGCACAGCTGGGATGGGTGCACAGAGGGCCCCTGGCACCTCCTGCCTCCCTGTGTGCCCTCCCTGTCCTGCCCACTGGGGTGCGGGTACACACCAAGCCGTGCTGTGCTGAACTGAGCCATGCTGGGCTTTGCTGGGCCACAACAGACAGCAGGACTGGGCTGTACTAGGCTGGACTGGGCTCTGCTGTACCATGCTGAACCAGGCCAGGTCATGTTGTACCATGCCACACTAAGCTGTGCCATGTTGGACCACGCCGTGCCTGACTGGACTATGCTGTGCCATGCTGGCCACGCTGGGCCATGCTTTACCATGCCATGCCACACTGGGCTGTGCCATGCCATGCTGGACTGTACTGGGCAGTGCTGCCTCAGGTCATAAACACTGTGCTGTGCTGTGCCAGCCAGGACAGACCTGGGCTGGACCACACTGAGCTCCCACCAATGCCCTGCTGTGCCAGCCCCAGGCGGTGTCATGCTGAGCTGTACCAAGCCAGGAAGACTGTGACAGTCCTGGGCTGTCCCATGCTCTGTTGTGCCATGCCATGGCAGAGTCTGCCATGCTGGGATGTGCTGAACCAGGCAGATTGTGCCAGCCCTGTGCCAGCCCCATAATGTGCTATACCATGCCATGCCATGCCAGGCTGTGCCATGCTGGGCCGTACTGAGCTGTACCAAGCCAGGGAGACTGGGCCAGTGCTGTGCCATGCCAGCTGCATGCCATGCTGTGACAGCCCTGTGCCACACTGTATCATGCTGGCCCCAGGCCAGCCCCATGCCGTGAGAGTCCTGTGCCATGACAGCTGCATGTCGTGTCACGCCCCATGTGCCAGCCCCATGTCATGCTATGTCATGCCAGCCCCACGCTGTGTCAGCCCTGTGTCATGCTATGCCATGCCAGTTCTGTGCTGTGCCAGCCTCATATTGTGCCATGCCAGCCCCATGCCGTGCCAACCCCATGATGTGCTATACTGTGCCATGTCATGCCAGACTGTGCCATGCTGGGCTGCACTGAGCTGTACCGAGCCAGACAGACTATGCCAGTCCCAGTCTGTTCTATGCCATGCCGACCCCGTGGCATGCCAGTCCTGTGCCACAGGACTGGCATGCCATGCAATGCCGTGCTGTGGCAGCCCCGTGCCATGCTATGCCATGCCAGTTCTGTGCTGTGATAGCTCCATGCCGTGCCAGCCCCATTCTGTGCCGTGCCAGCCCCGGTGCCGGTGCTGATGCGCGTCCGGTGACGCGGCGGGGCCGCTGGGCGGCGCCCCTGGCGCACCGGCGGGGCGGACCGGGCGCACCGGGCGGAGCGGGCGCAGCGGGAGGCGGCGGCGGCGGCGGCGGGATGGACGAGCCCAGCATCCTGCGGCGCCGGGGTCTCCAGGTGGGCACGGGGCACGGCGAGCGGGCACCGCGCGCGGCGAGAGGGCACCGGCGGGGCGGGGGAGGGAGGGAGCGCGGGGAGCCCGGTCTCGGTGAGCCTGCGGCGAGGGGGTGCTCGGGTCTGCGAGGGGTGGGCGCTGCGGGGGCGCAGGGGGCGGGAGCTGTGGGTGGGAGGTGGGTGTTCGGGGTGCGGGTGTGCAAGAGGTGGGTGCTGCGAGTGAGAGGCGGGTGCTCCGGTGGGAGGTGGATGTTCTGAGTGAGAGGCGGCTGTTCCGGGTGTGGGTGTGCGAGAGGTGGGTGCTGCGGGTGCGAGGTGGGTGTTGTGGGGTATGGGTGTGCAAGAGGTGGGTGCTGTAAGCGAGCAGTGTGTGCTCTGGGTGCATGTGAAGTGGGTACTGCGTGTGCAAGTGGGTGCTGCAGGTGAGGGGTGGGTGCTCTGTGTGTGCAAGAAGTGGGTGCTGTGAGCGGGAGATGGGTGCTCTGGGTGGTGGTGTGTGCAAGAAGTGGGTGCTGCACGTGGGAGTGAGGTGCTCTGAGTGAGGGTGTGTGTGAGGGGTGGGTGCTGTGTGTGAGAGGTGGGTGCTACGAGGGCAAGAGGTGGGTGCTGTGTGTGAGCAGTGTGTGACAGGTGGGACAGGAGCCAGGCACCCAGCACTGGGAGCAGGGCAGGGTGTGAGCCTCAGCCATGCCATGGGATGCTGGTGGGGGGCACCCAACTGTGTGGGGGCTCCCATGGGAGCACCGTGGTCCCTCCAGTCCAGCACACAATGCCAATCTGTGCCAAACCGCTGTGCCAGCACCTCTCTGAACAGCTGCCCCATCCACCACCCTGTGCTTGTGCTCCCCAGCCTGAGGGACACCTACTCTCCCTGCTCATCCTGCATCTCTCAGGAACCCTGGACACCCACTGCCATGCTCAGAAGGGTCATGACCACGGACCCCCCGGCTCACATTGCTGAGTGCTGAGCCAGATTTTCTGGGTGACCTCACGCCTCCATCTCCATCTGCAGTTCCCGGGGGGCCCGGGTGGAGCTGTCCGGGTGGTTGGAGGATGGCACGGCGCTGCCTTCATCCGAGCTGGCAGCTCCGCAGGCAGCTGTGCTCCACTGCACAGCTGTACTCCACTGTGCTCAGCCCAGGGAGAGCCTTGCCTGGGAGCTGCCCGCCCATGGATGGGGACGGACAGAGCCACGGCTGTGGGCTTTGGGGCTCTTGGCCGTGAGGGTCGCTCCTGGTGGTCCTGGGAAGAGCAGAGCTGTGGGGCCTGGCCGTGTGCCCCTGTCCCCACAGCAGGAGGGGTGAGAAGGGGCTCCTGCCAAGGACCTAATCCTGAACTGCTGAGCAGAAATGCTGTCCCTGATGCCATCCCTAATGCCATCCCTGATGCCATCCTTGATGCTGTCCCTGATGCTTTCCTCATCTGCTGATGGTTAATCCTGGCTTCCCACTGGGACCTGCTGATGGGAGACACACCATGCTGGATGTGCGTCCACATCTGCCAGCTGTGGGTGCTGACCCTGTGGCACTGCTCCACCGGGGTCCTCATGGCCATCAGGGATGCTCTGGGTGCCCCTGGGGACACAGCATGGCCAGAGAGCCCCTGACAGTGATGGGTGTTGGGTGCCACAGATCGCTCTGCGCTCTTGCACCCATAGATGGGTGGGGAGGCTGTGTTGTGGTGAGCATGGGGGACAAGGGTGTCTGTCCTCTGTCCCAGTGCCCCATCTGCACATGGCTGAACAGTAAAACCCTCTGTGTGACCCTTCCCTGCCTCTACCCTTGCATGGGGGCTAGTGGCCTGTGGCACAGCCCCGGGTGTGGGTGGGGATCCAAACTGGGTGATGGCAGGGCTGAGTGAAGGTGCTGAGGGGCTCCCACTCCATGCAAGGATCCCACATCCCCTTCCCCAGCCCAGGCCTGGGGTCACCCAGTGCAGCTGGACGCACTGGGACACCCACCCCCACCCCGTGTACCTTCTCCCTGCACCCACACCACCCCAGGGCAGACACGCACCCGTAGGCCCGGGGCTGCCGAGTCCCTGTGCACCCAGGCATGATGTCACCCGTTGCCATGGCAATGCTGCTGCATCACTGCATTGTAGAGCGCCCCAGTCCCGGGATTTCCACAGGACCTGTGTGGTGTGGGCAGCAGGATGGGGCATGGGTAGCCCAGAGGGACTGGGGGGTTTGTGTGTGCTGCTGGGTGTCCCCACATGGGTGGCAGTGGTCCCTGCCCTCAAGGAGGTCCCTGCCCATGCTAGGAATGAGTCTGAACTGCTCAGGGTTGTGGGACCGGTGGGCACAGGATAAGGGCAATGATGGGGCATTAACCAGCACTTGCAGCTGCCACATGTCCCAGCATCCCACAGAGAGCCAGGTCACACACCAGCCCATCCACACAGCGTGCCGGTGGCATCTGTGATACTCTGGTGTGCCCAGTGGCACACAGGTGGTCACCAGGGCACTGTCAGAGCTGGACAGTGCCTGGCACACCAGGAGGATGGCATGGGCTGGGGTTCCTGCCCACAGCTGCCCTTTGGCCTGTTGCACCACCTGCAAGCAAACAGCTCTCACAAGAAATATTCCCAGTGGCTGGAAAAATAAACAACTCAGGGGCTGCCGGCTGCTCCCCAGTCCTGGGATGAGGGGGACGGGGTGGGAGACATGGCATAGCCACTACCCTGAGGCTGTGCTCCAGATGGGCGTGTGGTGCTGCTCCCACTCCACTGCCTTCATGCCGTTGCTCCTGGGCCTGGCCATCGGGCCATCAGCCCCAGGGACACTGGAAGGAGATGTTCCCTTGCCGGCCCTGGGCAGGTGATTTGTCACCCTCACCCTGGGCACGGTGAGTAGGGACTGACCCTGCAGTGACAGCCTAGTGTGACAGCAGGGGTGCTGCCATGTGGCTGGCAGGAGCAGGGGTCCTGCAGGTGGGCACCCTCCGATTCCTGGGGCCACACTCTGACCCCGCTTCTCGCTTTTCTCGTTGCAGAAAGAGCTGAGTCTGCCACGTCGAGGAAGAGCGTAAGTTCCTGAGCTGGGCCACCTGGGGCACGGGGTGGGGTGTCATCAGGAGGGACATGCTTGGGGACACAGCACCAGC